ATAAAGGACGCGTGGACAAAAACTAGGGCGGCGTGGAAATGGGAGGGAGGTGTGGAGCACTAGGGGGGTAGGCTGGGGTGGGAGTAAAAGACAGAAAACTGTACTTGAACAACAATTAAAATTTAAAAAAATGTTATATATAAAAAAAGAAAGCAACCATGATGTTTGGAAAGTAACTAATTCACTTGATTGCCTAAGGAAAACTATAATTATAGTAAATTCAGATGATAAAAAAAGAAAATAGATATAACAAAAATGTATTAGGATGATAAAATTTATAAAGATAGGAGATCTAAGATGGCAGAGGAGTAAGTGGAAGCTACACTAACCTCTTCTGAGGACCATTATGGGATTACAACTAAATTGTAGAGAAATCATCCTGAATAACCAACTGAACACTAGCTGGAGAGAAGCCTCATAACCACCAACAGACAGAAGGAACCACTTTACCAAAATGAGACTGATAGTGCATAGGAAACACAAGTGGGCTGGCTGGTCTCCAACAGGCAGCAGCTGGAGTTCCAGAGGTATATTTCAACAGTCAAAGGGTTTCCCCTGAGAACTGTGGGTTAGAGAGGGGAAGGGAAGGAATAAGAGAGGGCAAGAAGCATCAATGTGTGGTTGCCTCTTGCATGGCCCCCACTGGGGACCTGGCCTGCAACCCAGGCATGTGCCCTGACTAGGAATCAAACCTGTGACCCTTTGCTTCACAGGCCCACACTCAATCCACTGAGCTACACCAGCCAAGAAATATTTCAAAAATTTGTGTAGAACCACAAAAGACCCCACATAGCAATAGCGATCCTGAGAAAGAAGAATAAAACTGGAGGAATCTTGCCACCTAATATCAAACTATGCTATAAGGCCATAGTAATCAAAACAGCATGGTACTGCCATAAAAACAGACACATAGATCAATGAAACAGAATAGAGAGCCTAGGTCCAACAACCCACAGAATGGGAGAAAATATTTACTGATACATCAGATAAGGGGTTTATACCCAAAATCTGTAAAGAACTTGCAAAACTCAACACCAAAAAGCAAACGACCCAATTAAAAACAATGGACAAAGGATCCGAATAGATACTTATCCATAGAGGACGTACAGATGGCTAATAAGCATATGAAAAGCTGTTCAACATTACTATTACTAATCATCAGAGAAATGCAAAGTAAAACCACGATGACATACCATCTCACACCTGTCAGAATGGCCATCATCAGTAAATGAACAAACAACAAGTGCTGGTGAGGATGTGGGAAAAGGGAACCCTTTTGCAATGTTTTGTGGGAATGCAAATTGGTGCAGCCACTGTGGGAAGCAGTATGGAGACACCTCAAAAAATTAAAAATGGATCTCCTTTTCGACCCAGCTGTCCCACTTCTGGGAGTATATCCAAAGGAACACAAAACACTAACTTGAAAGAACATAAGCACTCTTATGTTCATTGAAGAGTTATTTACAATCACCACGATACGGAAGCAGCCCAAGTGTCCATCAATAGATGAGTGGATAAAACAACTATAGGACATTTACACAATGGAATACTACTCAACTGTAAAAAAGAAAATTGTACCCTTTGCAACAGTATTGATGAATCTGGAGAACATATGCTAAGTGAAATAAGCCTGTCAGAGAGGAACAAATACTATATGATTTCACTCATATGTGGAATCCAATGAACAAACTGAACTAAAGGAAAATGGGGACAGACTCATAGATGGAGAGCAGGATTACAACTATAGGGGAGGGGAGATTAAGAGGTGGAAGGATTGAGCAAAAAGGAAAGAGGACTCATGGACATGGACAGCAGTGTGGTGATTGCAGGGGGGAGGGGCATATAATGGTAATGGGGAAAAAGTACAATAAAAAATTAAAAATTAATATATAGAAAACCTAAAAAATCATAAAGATAAAACAATAAAGTTTCAAAAAAAGAATAAATCCAAACTTATTTCCTTTTAAAGTTCAATAAAATGAGCTTGTCTGATTAAAGAGAAAAGAGACTGTATAAAAGTATATAATGTAAGGAATAAGAGAGCTGACATAGCAGATGTAGGAGAGATTAAAATCATTATAAGGGAATACTTTTTGCAACTGTTTGGCTATAACATACTTGAAAATCTAGAGGAAATTGATTATTTCCAAGCAAAATATAAATAATAAATTCATCTCAGAAGAAGCAAAAGCATACTTAGAAAAGTCACCACATAAGTTTTTGAAGAAGTAATTTAAGATCTGCTGAAGCATCATGGGTTTGTGGTTGAACTTTAGCCCTTAAAGAATAGGACATTTCAATTTCAGGCTTTAGGAAAAAAGGAAAGATGTACAATTCAGTGTATGAAATGATGTAACTTTAATATGAAAGCCCAACAAAGATAGGAATCTGCTAACCAATCTCATTTATTATAGATGTCAGAATTCTAAATGAAATATTCACATATAAAATCCAGGAATATATTTTAAAATTCCACTACCTGTACAGACTGCTTCTTTTCTCTTGGAGCATGTCATGTGAAACATCCTGTCTGGGATGATAGTCACAGAGGTGGTATAATGAAAAGTGCATGCATCTTGGATGTGTTTTGGAGGTAAAATTAATAGTACTTGGTATTAGAGGTGAGGGAAAAGATTAAGTAATGGTGTTTTGGTTTTTGGATGATGGTGCCATGTGTTGTGATGGGAAAGATTGGAAGGGAAATAGTTTAAGTAGTTAAGTTGAATCAAGTTGTGTTTTGACATGTTATGTTTGAGATATGTGTTAGACATCCAAGAGACAGGTGGACATGTGAGTCTGAATATTAGGGCTAGAGATAAAACTTTGTGAGTTTTAAATGTGGTAGTTAAAGCCATAAGACTAGATGAACTCGTCTTGATGGAGAATAAAAAGGATAATGGTAGGTCCAGAATTGAACTTTCAAAATATCCTAATATTGTGGAGGCTGAATAGAGAAGGTGTGTTTCAAGAATTGAGGAAAAGCAAGTACAAACAATTGATCAGGAATAATACAGCATTGAGCCTTTAAACAATAATCCTGGAAGGTAGAAGATAATACTTCAACCTGTTAAATATTCTTCTTGGTGAAATTTATTTCTAATCTAAAATTTTGTACTCAAACAAGCTCTCAACCAAATACAAGAGATTAACATTTTCAGACACCCAAAACCTAAAAAAAATTCCCACTGTGTACCTTTGCTCAGCAAGTACCTGCAGGTTGTGCTCCAGCAAAATAGAAATGAACTAAGAAAGAGGAACACATGGGATTCAAGGAAACAAAAAGCCGTACTTAAGTGAGAGGTGGAAGTTCCAATATAACAACAATTGAAGTCCCAGGGTGACATTTGTACAGCTGCCAGTTTAGATTAGAGCAGAAGGATATAGAGCCCCAGGAGAGATATGTTCAGGAAAAAATGAAAATCATAGATTATTTGCTGCTAATGTTTATTGTTTACTCTGAGCCAGATACTGTTCATTCTAACTATTTTACACATAAGTCATTTAGTTTTTCTACTTGGGATAGCTATTATTTCCACTGGATCTAAGCCCCATGAAGGCAGATATTTTCATCTGTTTTATATATTCCAAACACCAAGAATAGTAATGGGTACTTAGTAGATATGTAATGGATTTTTGTTAAATGAATGCAGTGAATGTATGATGCACATTTTACATATGGGGCAACTGAGATACAGAGATTCTAATGTTTGTCCAACTTTGTATAGTTGTTAAGTGGGTGAAGTGAGCTGTGAACCCAGGCAGTCTTGCTGTATAGTAGGAGCTCTTAGCCTCTATATTAGGTGTATATATATATATATTTCAAAGATGAGAGGAGGTGGGAAGTGTTATATCAGAGTGTTATATCTTCCAGAGGAAATCAATAACATCTAACATTTATAAATTAAGACATAATAGTATAAACATCTTAAGGATAATGGAATTAAATACCATAAGGAAAAGAGTGGCTACTTTTAGAAAGGGAAACTGGTGACTGATGTTTTAGTTTTAGATCTTTTTGTACTATTTGACTTTTTACAATCTACAGCACAGATAAAAATTAAATGTGGATTTGTCAAATGGTGAATATGGAATAAATATGAGCTTTTAGAGACAAGAACCATGTCTTAGAATTATCATTAAAGTGTATGCAGAATAGAGTGTTACGTGACTTGGTAGAGGAGATGAAAAAGATGAAGTTAAGGACAATAAACTTAACCACTAGTTTCGCATATAGCCTCCTAGTCCTATCATTAATTAACTGTAGGACCTTAAGCAAAATATTTGTTTTCTCTGACGCTCAGTTTTATCATCCATAAAATGGGAATTTATAATACTTCAAATGGTGGTTATGAACATTAAATGATATTTAAGATTGTGAAAACACCTAATAGAGCCTAGTAAGAATAGATGCCTGATAGGGATTGTTTCTGTTTCTTTCTATATATTCTCTTATTTATACAAAATATTTCCTATATGACATTATTTTTCTCATAACTCTAATAACTCATTCTATAGAGCAGATAAGTAAAGCATTGTTTATCCCCATTTTACAAATAAGGAAAGAGGTTAAGTTATATAATCAAGGTTATACAGATAGTTATACTTACATCTTTTGACCCACTACCATGGAGAAAACTAGTTTTTTCTCTAAAACTATTAAAATAGTTTAGAATAAAATGTATTCACTCAAGTCAGTTTGTTTATAGGAAAGTGCTACTAGTGAATTCTTTCTGCAGAGTTTCAGATTTTTTTTTAGTGAGGAATTTAAAGTTGGAATTATCTGTCAAACCTAAGCTGAGACATTTAGTTTGTAATGATAACTGAATTTTATATAGAAAATAGCCAGTGGCTTCTTTTGGGATTGGTTTTGTGATTCCTTCCTGTTATCTCTTACTTGTTCATAAACATAGACATTGTATCAAAGGCTGTATCCTGACTAGATGTTTAAATGGTAGATTCATCATTCTCCTAAATAGACTGATTTATAAATCCCATTTTAGATTTGACGTGAAGTCTCCTCAGTCTTCAGAGATGGAAATTACTGATGGAATGAACTGGTCATTGAGTCCCATTTCTATTGAGCCTTTTGTCTACAAGGTAAAATGTGTAATGTATCATCACCTTACTTTTTTATTTTACTTTTTTTGGCATATATGAATAATAGTATAGAAATTTGTAGAAAGGAAGAAGGCAGAGCAAGAAATGTTTTCTTTTTAATCGATTTAATGTATTGTGCTAACATTTGTTGTAGACATATAAAGCTGTTTCATAAATTCAAATTCAAATTCAAATTTAGTGCTTCTATAAGGTCTATAGTTGTCTCCCCATCACAGAATCTTCACTCCTACTTTTTTGCTCCACATTTATTGAGTACTTCTTCGGCACCAGGGATTGTGCTGAGAGATAAAGATACGGTAGCTATATCACAGAAAGACATGCCATCAAATGGAGGCATTGAATATTATAAGTGTTAAGGTTAAATACTGTAGAGAGTGTGTTGGTTAATTTCATAAAGGAGCTGAACGTGAGGCAAAAGGAGATGAGGTGACTTGAAAACACTGATTGGCAAATGGGGCATTCTAAGCAGAGGGAGCAGCGTGAGCAAAGTCAGGCAACTCATGGGCTATTCAGAGAGCTATAAGTAGTTTAACATAGCAATAACATAATTTATAATGGGTGCAACAAGAGATAAAGCTAGAGTGTTTAATAGAGACCAAATCTTATAGAAACTTGTGTAGTAGTTTGGGCTTATAAGCAGTCACTTTTATATTTTTGAAAGATTAGTCCAGGAGGAGCGTGAAAGATGGATAATAAGGAAATAAGATACGGATTAGGAAAGTCAGTTAGAAATCTTTTCAAGTTGTTGAAGCAAGATATCTAGAGTGACCTGGTCTAGAATGCTAAAGTAGTGGCAGTAGATTGAAAGATAGATTTTATATAAATACACACACAGACACACACACACACATATACACACACACACAGATAGAATTGATAGGAATTGCTAATAGCTTGAAGGTTGAAATATGGGTCTCCAATAAATTGTCTTCAATTCTAAAATTCAAAACTCCCTGGAAAATTAGATTTTCTTGAAGTTTTCAACAAACTTTTGGCTGAAAAACTTTATCCAAACTATAATGAGGCTATTGTCATTATTTCACTAGGTGTAAGTATTCATACATGAATTTTGGATTTGCATTTTGCTGCAGAATTATTAGTATGTTTGATTAGAGGGTGCTATTTCAGCTCCCCTGGGGTGTTACTAATATGTTCTATGTGTAATTTTTAGTTATCTTTCTAAAATACAACATTGTGATTTCCAAAACACATTTGTCCCCAAGGACTTAAAGGATGTGGACCATTGGGTCATTGTGAGCATTAAATGAAGCAATACATGTAAACTGCTTAAAATAGTGTCTAGGTCACAGTAAGTGCTCGATAAATATTAGCCAGCAGTGTGATGGTGCCGATGATGATGATGATGATGATGGAGGTTTTGTGCACAGTACTCCCGCTCACTAATATATGAAACATAGACCATTAAATTAAAGTTCCTCAGCCCTCAGAGAGGGATATGAAGATAGGAAAGCAAGGAGAATACACATTCTCCCTAACAATAACAAAGATGCTCTAGTGGAATTGTGAAAATGCTGGGAATACTTCTTCCTTGACAGACTTTTCTAGATCCTTGCTACACTTTATTATTTTCAAGCTTTAATGTGCATATGACTCACCTGGGGGTCTTGTTGAAATGCGCTAATGTCTAGGACAGGGATTGACAGCCTGCATTTCTGGCAAACTACCAGCTGATGTTGATGCCTCTAGTCCATGGATCAGATTTGAGTAGCAAGTGCCTGGTAATAGGGCACATGCTGCAAGAATAGAAATTATTTATGAGACAGTTACCAGTTTGGCTCAGATAATATATATCAAGCATGAAGAAAACTTTTCATAGCAGAATGAGGCATCAGGGTATAAGAATACTTTGGAAAATATCAGAAAGACTGATATCAAAGATGTATTTTGCCTCTTTGTTCAAGTCTCTTCTGACCAGTTACTAGCACGTTGGGGTATATCTACGGTCAAAGCCCACTGCTGTCTCTCATATCACCTGGCAGTACACAAAGAGAGTAAGACAAGTAGTAAACTTGTGACTGTTATAGGCAAGGAAACTAAGTCACGGTTCAAAGCCAGGCATAATTTGGCGTTATCCCGATAGCACTAATACTGTATATTACTTTGCTTTTCATCTGTTGTGGTGAAAGCCAAATTATCTTTATTTTTCACATTATCTCATATATCCACATGATGTCATAACCAAAGACTGGAAGGGAACATTGAAAAATTAAGAGTTTCCCTGGCTGGTGTGGCTCAGCAGATTGAGCATTGGCCTGCGAACCAAGAGGTTGCAGGTTCTATTCCCAGTCAGAGCAGATGTCTGGGTTGCAGGACAGGTCCCCACTAGGGGGCTTGTGAGAGGCAACCACCCATTGATGTTTCTCTCCCTCCCTTCTTCTCTCTCTAAAAAGAACTAACTAAATAAAATCTTTTTTAAAAAGAAAGTTTTATTTGATGGAGGTAGTGAGATTATGGTTGCAATGTTTTCTTTCATTTTGTTTACTAATATTATTATTTTATTTATGCAGTATAAAAAGAAGAATCATAACCCTTTCTTTCTTATCTGAAAGTCCATATTTCTCTTGGGTGTGTAATGTTGTCCAAGCAAATCCAACTCCTTGGCGAAGTTGAGCTCCTTTGAACTGTGCTATGGTTTCGAACACAACATACCAGTAATTAGAAGTCCTTAAAACTCCTAAATTTCTCATGCTCGGGGAAAAATCACTGCCCTGGCTATAAACTACACACTACATTTTTATCAATATTAAATATATAGCAGAATGTTTTCTGTATCTTATACTATTTCTTATTAAATATAAGTAGAAAATGTACTATATAGTAACTGACACTTTGCTTCCAGGTACCACTTCCAGTGGCCTGTCCAGTGACTTCACAGCATGTGCCTATGTACGGAATGGTAAGAAAAAACCTTTTAATATATCAAAAGTGGGAGACTGAGGTGAAACTTCCCATGGATTGCACTAACAGAAAACAAGAAATAAATAATTTAAAATGGAAGGTCATTTATCCATATCCTTTCCTTGCACTGGAAAAACAAATAACCCTCTTCTCACAAAGGCTCTGTGAGATGGCTAAATGGAATAGAGAAGGGAACCTGAGGAATGGGGAAGAGAGGGGATGTGTAGAAGTGGATTAAGGAAAGCTGTTCCAGAATTAATAGATAATCCAAAATAGGAATAATATGCACACAATAGAGATTCAAATATAACTTACTTTACATTCTTGCTTTACACCAAGAGTTACAAGCTACTGTTTGTGGCTGGTTTTCTTCCCCTTTGCAAAGTTTGGTTGTTATTTGATTTTGTTTTGTTTTATTTGCCATCTTGCTGTTAGGGATCACTTCCACTCTGCATCAAGCAGGTACAAAACTAAGTGGAACTTAATAAGGCTGAATTTTTCTTACTATGCAAGACTTTCCAATGGGAGAAACTATTAATACAGGTGGAATATCTGAAACTTTTCTGATTCCAGGTTTTTTATCCAAATTTATCTAATTCATTTCAGTCTCATTTCTGTTCTTAATGTTTGGAAATGTTTTCATAATTTAAAATTTTCCCTTACATACTCAAAAGTTGTTTGCAGCCACCAGTTCTCCTTTTTATAGCTTTGGTACATTGCATAAATTTCATGTAATGTAGTACAGGTAATGAAAACTTTGAAGTCATTCAGTACATAAATCTCACCATCAGGTCACTCAACTCATGTTTTTGTTGTTGGTGTCAATTTTGGAAAATGTAAAAAATACAGGAAAGTAGAAAGGATAACAAACATCCATGCTTCAACATTCTGAATTACTAAATGTTAGCTTTTTAAAATATATTTTATTGATTATGCTATTACAGTTGTCCCATTTTCTTTTCCCTTTATTCCACTCTGCCTTGCACCCCCTCCTTCCAGCATTCCCCCCCTTTAGTTTATGTCCATGGGTCATACATATAAGTTCTTTCGCTTCTCTATTTCCTATACTGCTCTCAACCTTCCCCTGTCTATTTTGTATCTACCATTTATGCTACTTATTCCATGCACCATTTTCTCCCATTCTCCTCTCTCTTCTTCCCTGCTGATAACCCTCCATGTGATCTCCATTTCTGTGGTTCTTTTCCTGTTCTACTTGTTTGCTTAGTTTCTTTTTGTTTTTAGGTTAGGTTGTTGATAGTTGTGAGTTTGTTGTCATTTTACTGTCCATATTTTTGGACTTCTTTTTCTTATATAAGTCCCATTAACATTTCATATAATAAGGGCTTGGTGATGATGAACTCCTTCAACCTGACCTTACCTGGGAAGCACCTTATCTGCCCTCCCATTCTAAATGATAGCTTTGCTGGATAGAATAATCTTGGAATAGGTTCTTGCCTTTCATAACTTCAGATACTTCTTTCCAGCCCCTTCTTGCCTGTAAAGTTTCTTTTGGGAAGTCAGCTGATAGTCTCATGGAAACTCCTTTGTAGGTAACTACTTCCTTTTCCCTTTCTGCTTTTAAGATTCCCTCCTCATCTTTAACCTTGGGGAATTTAATTATGACGTGTCTTGGTGTGTTTCTCCTTGGGTCCAACTTGTTTGGGATTCTCTGAACTTCCTGGACTTTCATATTTATTTCCTTCACAAGACTGGAGAACTTTTCCTTCACTATTTTTTCAAATAAGTTTTCAATATCTTGTTCTTCCTCTTCTTCTGGTATCCCTATAATTTGGATGTTGGAATGTTTAAAGTTGTCCCAGAGATTCCTCAGCCTGTCCTCATTTTTTTGAATTTTTGTTTCTTCATTCTCTTCCGATTGAATGTTTATTTTTTCCTTTTGTTCCAAACCATTGATTTGAGTCCTAGTTTCCTTCCCCTCACTGTTTATTGGTTCCCTGTATATTTTTCTTTATTTTACTTTGTATAGCTATCACTTCTTCCTTTATTTTGCAACCATACTCAGTCACTTCTGTGAGCATCCTGATTACCAGTGTTTTGAACTGTGCATCTAGTAGGTTGGCTATGTCTTCATCACTTAGTTCTTTATCTGGAATTTTGATCTGTGCTTTCATTTGGGACATATTTCTTTGTCTTGGAGCACCTGTTACATTGCAAGGAATGGAGCCTTAGGTATTCACCAGGGTAGGGCAACCCACTTCTCTACATTGTGGTGCTGTATGTGGGGGAGGGGTCTGAGAGGGAACAATGCCACTTGCTTGGCTCTTGTCCAACTTTCAGTCACTTCCCTCACTTCCCACAAGTGGATTGTGCCCTTTCAGGTGCTGATTCTGTGGTGTGTGGGCTTGTGTATGTTCTAGGATCACTTGGGTCCCTCCAATGGACTCTCCTGTGAGACTGGGAGTTTCTCCCACTGCCACAACCCCACAGGTTTTTATAGCCAGAGATTTTGAGGCTTTAGTTTCCCTGTGCTGGACCCCTGGGTTGTGTGATCTGTCTTGCTCCTACATTGTTCCTCTCAGCTTATCTGCACGTCAATGTTGGATCACATGGCCTGCCATGACATCACTGTCTTACCTGCCCCAGTCTGCCAGCTGCTGCCTTGTCGTGTGTCCTTACCACCCCGGCTTCCCATCTCCTCCCCTCCTACCAATTTAGATGACTATTTATTCTTTAACTTCTTGGTTGTTGGACTTCCATATAGTTCAATTTTCTGGCAGTTCTGATTCTTTTTCATTTTTAAATTGGCTGTTAGCCTTCTTTTGGTTGTACAAGGAAGCAAAGCATATATCTACCTACGCCTCCATCTTGGCCGGAAGCCTAAATGTTAACTTTCTAGCATAATTTTTTCAGTTCATTTGAAATGAAATTTTACAAATAAAATCAAAGTCTTCTTGGCAGACTCCTAGTCCCAGTCATCCTCCACTTCTTCAGAGACAATGACTATGATAAATGTTACATACTTTTACTGTGGAAAAATGAATAGTACTATTCTACATGATTTTTAAAAGTTGATTATAATTGGCATTGTTCTGTACTAATGTTTTTCAGATCTACCTAGATTGATATATATTAATTATAATGGCTTATTGCTATTCCACATATGAATGTAGTACCATTTAGTAGTATATGTTATCCCATTTTTGAAAAATTTCTCAAAAAATTCTCTGTATGCTGTCAGTACTTCTTTTTGTCTCATTCTCTCTTGACCCTATTCCAGTAAGGATCTGCCTATCCTTTTTGTTCTTAACTCAGTCACAAGTGACCTCTGTATTACCATATTGGGTGGTCATTCCTCAGCCCACATTGTGTCTTACCAGTGGCATTTTATACAAATGACCACTCCTTCCTCCTTGAATTGCTTGTTTCACTTAATTTCCAGGTTATCATTATCTCAGCTGGTTGTTTCTTCTCAACATCTTTCCCAATACTAAATATTGGAGTACCCCAGGATCAATTGTTGAGCA